AGCCCATGAGCGAGAGTGCAGACTCAGGAGACGCCCTCCACGCTGTCCCAGGACCCTGGCAGCTTGTTCATCCTCTGCGTGCCCCAGTCTCTTCATCTGCAAATGGAACAATAGTAGGACCAACCTCAAAGAGTTGTCTAGAGGATTAAAAAATGTATATCAAACTCATAAAATATTACTTAGGACATAATTATTTTATAATTAATAAGTGCCATATATAATGTTTCATGTTATTTTTTAATCCTTAAATTGTTTTTTTAGTCTTCTTAAACTTCCAAATATATATGTGGGATATTGGGCAGTTTGTAGTTAATATTTTTGTTAACATTTTATAATTTTTTAAAATGATGGTCTAAGAATATAATCCATAAGACATCAAGTCATTGAAATTTGTTGAGGAAAGCACTTTGACCTAGCTGCTAGCATATCATTGGTTTTCATAAATGTCCCACATGGTTTAGAAATATGTATTCTCTATAAATACAATTAGAGATTATGCCATTTAAATCTGAATCCTTGCTAATTATTTTGTTTGCTTGATCTAAGAAAAGTGTCAGCATTTTGAAAGCAAGTGAGTAATTTAGGCAGGCTTGTTATATTTTGTTTAGGAAAACAGTTCGAAGTGTTTTAGGAACTTTTCTCTTAATAGGCATTTTTAATTGATTTTTGAGAGAGAGAAAGGGGAAGAGAGAGAGAGAGAGAGGTTATTCCATCCGTATGAAACATTATTTGCATGTTTGTGGTTATTTCTGAAATGCCTTCTAAACAATGTACAGCTCCAGGTTTGCAAACATGATAACCAGCCTCCATGGTGCCCCCTGAGTAGGGTTGACCTTTTGTGGGAGTGATGCTGTGTGGCTTCTGAGGGTAGGTAATGAGGACATCGTGGCTCCCACTTCCTGCTCTCTGTGTCATGAACACTCCAGCTCTATGAAAAGTACTCGTGGTGGGAACTGAGACTCCTGGCAGCATGCAGGACTGACCCGAGACTGAGTGCCCCACCTTGGAGTCAGGTCCGCCCGCCCAAACCAGCCTCTGCGTGATGACTCCCAGCCGTCATATTACTGCCACCTCATGGGAGACCCCCATCCGGACCCACTCAGCTAAGCCCCCTGGAATCTCCCAACTCCTACCCTGTGTGTCTTTATAGTTTTAAAAAACAAACAAGGGTTGGATCCCAAGGCTTTGATACTATGCTCGGGGGCCCTCATGGTGGGAGGGCTGTGTGTGAGGGGCCGACTGGCTTGGTTCCGAGACGCCTCCCCACATACGCCACGGCAGCTGTCACTCTCTGGTGTCTCCATGGAGGCTCTGTGCAGGATTTGTTTTGAAGAAAGAAGTCTGCTGCCAGAAATAAGTTGGAAAACACTGGATGAGGGAAACACGGGATTCGATGACCTCTTAACACTCTGAGATCCTCATCCATATGAAAAGAATACTTCTCACAAACGCACGGGCGCTATGTTGGGTGCCAGGAGCACAGTCCTCATGCTGCTCGCCGATAAATGCATCCGGCGCTGGCCTGCCTGCGCGTGAGGTGGACAAAGTCCAGGCAGGAGGAAGCACTGTTCCTTCTCCAGGCCTAGCTCCTCCTGGGCCTTCTGCAAACAGGTGCCATGTGGTTAGAATGATATTGACAATATCAGCAATAATGGCTGGCATGTACTGCTTGCTGCGTGCAAGGTCTGGGATAGGGGTTTTCCATCTGTGATCTCATTAACCCTCGTGACCGCTAGGAGCCAGGCATTTTAGAGATTGAGGAAATGAAGGCCGGGAGGGTAGATATTTCTCCAGAGTCGTGATTAGGAAAGGAAAGGGCGGAGCTGCAATGCAGACTCAGCCTGTCTATAAGTGCACAACCCTTTGCCACCCTTTCATGTATTTTAGGCCACTGTTCAGATCCAAGCAGCCCCTCTTTGGGTCTGAAACACATTGACTTCACACCGGGAGGTTTTACTAGTTACTCATAAGAAAAGCTCTTCATTCCTTCACTTGGTAGTTCACATTGGGAGCCTTGTCTGTGCCCAGGCACTGGCTCTGTGGACAGAAGGGCAAGGAAAACAGATAGTGGTGCTCCCTCTGGCTAAGCTGGGAGTTGGGCTGCAGGAGGACCTGAGAAGCCCAACTCCGGAGACAACAGGAAGGTTCCAGGTACTGGAGACCAAGGTCTTCCTTAGAGCACAGCTAGCAAATGCCTTCAAAGGATGAAAGACTAGGCGTGACCTGGCGCTGGGTCCCAGAAAGCCATGACCTTCCAATGACAGTCCCCCTAGGAATAGTCCCCTAAGACAGTCCCCCAGTCCCTCTAGGAAGCCTGCCTGGGTTGTGCATCTCCTGGCTGGGCACCGCCCATGGGCCTGGAATGACCGCCTCCCTTAGCGAGCACCTCAGACAACACACTAAAACATAGAGGCCTCGGTTCTGAGAAACTCTTGGCGTGAAATCGGACCTTAGAACCTGCGCTGTGTGAGATCACGTCTGCTGCAGGGTTGTTCAGAGAGACTTGTCAAGAGCAGGTGTTAACTGCCCCTGCGACTCAGTAACATTTAGTTCAGTCTTTCAATTGGTCTCGTTATCTTGTTAATTCTTGGCCGGAACTCTGTTTTGGTAAAATTCCAGCTGTTTCACGATGCCTTCTGTATTTTACTGTTTCAGAGTGACTCCACTTGAGCCCCTAGGCTGGGTGGGGACCTGCCCCAGAAGGTATGGGATTTTACTTCTAAAAGGGAAGGAGGAACGGCTGTCCATGGGGAAAGCGGCCTCTTTCTATGGAGACCTCCCGCCTCTCTCTGCTCCAGCTCAGGTCAATCGTTAGCAGTGGCGTGAAGCTGGCCCCACCGAGCCCACAGCCTCCCCTGTGCTCCCTCCCGCCACAGGCCAGCACCACCGCGCCAGGCCCCCACCCGCTCCTGGGAACACAGGCTGCCGCCTAGACTCCTATTTTATCTTCAAAGTACAGAGCGATCCTTTGTGGGAGGCCTTGATTTCCTCCTCCCCTGTCCCCAGGCGAGGCTCCCAGATATCATCTCACAGTCTCTGGGAGAGTGCAGACCAGGCCAGCGCAGGGCCTTTTATCTTGTTGGTGCTTCTGGCTGACTTTTCAAGTCTTTTTTGATATGTTTTTACTCAGGGATCCAGATGGCAGGCAGCTGAATTTAAAACTCTTTCTAGGGACTAGAAGTTTTCCAAAAGTGTGTTTAGCCGACTCTGGACTGAGAAACAAGGGTAGGGACTAGGTTACAGTGGCGTTAACCTAGCACAATGAAACAGTAGTCTGCTCTCGATGATGTAGAGCAAGCATGTCAAACTCGCGGCCTGCAGGCCGAATGCGGCCAACAATGAATATTTTTGGGACCTAGCCAATATAACGATATGTAAGAAACATTTTAATAAAAATTTCGTAACTTAATTTTTACAATATCCTGGTATACATAATTATTAACAAACTACAATGTTCGCTAACGACTGATTACTATAATTGCGTTGCATTCATTTCCCTTACGCGCCGGAGCACCATCTCTCTCCACTAATACTAGCAGCGAATATTTTAGCAGCGGATTGCCATGACATTAGTCTTGGACTGGCTTGTTTGCTGTGCACAACAGGAAATATTTTGCTTTTGGAGAACAAGAAAAATAGGTTTATTTGCATTACACTTATTAATTTGTGCAATTAGTCAGTGTTATTAAAATGTTCGATTATTTTATGTTAACGATTACTCATTTACTTTAGCCCTTTGTATTCAGCACGTCTCTATTGAAATAAACCTGCGTTTCTATGAAAATTAAAGCTTTTGTTTTTCTGCGGCCCTCAGAAACAAACCTTGTTTATTTGGCCCGTGTTAGCCTTTGAGTCTGACATGCTTGGTGTAGAGGGTGACTGGAGAGGTTTGCAGTTGACTTGGGATAAGGTGGGACCTGCCTAACCAGCAGGAGAAACTGGACCAGGTGCCAGGCAGAGGCCCAGGCCCAGGCCTGCCAGGCAGTGCTCGGGTGGGGCGCTCAGTCTGTTTGGCTCCATCCCAGCCACTCAGGGGCCTGATGCTCTGTTATCCCTGAGTGAGGCCTAGCAGCCACTTACCCATGGATTACCTGCCAAGCAGTTAAGCCACCTCATAAGCAGGGGCTATGGTCCCCCGGTAAAGTGTGAGCAGCAAAGCATCTTCTCTATGACATTTAAGGTCAACACTGTCTATCCCATCCTTTTCTTCACCTTCGTCAATTTAATTCTGGGTAAGGAAACATTATTAATAAAAACAACAACAGCATTTGTAAAAGTAAAAAATGGTTAAAAAAAAAAAAAAGGGGGCCTCTATTTTGTAACCCTTTTTTAGAAGCCTTCATCCTTCTCTGTCACGTGAAGACACAGTGAGGAGGAGCCGTCTACCGGCCAGGAAGTGGCCCTCTGGGAACCGACCAGGCGGGCACCCTGATCTGCCAGCTCCAGAACCGTGAGAAATAAACTTGTTCAGTGCACCCTTCTGTGCTATTTCGTGTGGCAGCCCCAGCTAACATAGACACCAGGTATGATGCTCTTCCCTCTAGTCTAGGAAAGGAGCTCATGAAAGCAGTTCCTTGTGAGGAGCACTGCCTAGTAAACAGGACTTCAGCCTCACAAGTGAAATCCCCAGTGGGTTTACATCCTGGCCTGGCCCTAAAGCTGTGGCTCCTGTCGGGCCTGCACATTAGCACCCCCAGGGGGCATGCGAACTCCAGATGTCCCGGCTACCTTCCTGTCTCCGGGGCAAGGTCCAGACATCACTGGCCTTTCCAGCTCCCCAGCTCCCCAGCTGACTCCAATGTGCAGCCGGAGGAAACCCACCACCCTAAGGCTAACTGGGTAGAATATGGGGCTCAGGGTTCCGCACCAAAAGGAAAGGTGCCAAGCCCTCATTGGTGCTGCAGAGCTGAATGGCCTGCTTTGTGAGGATCAATGGTATGAAGGTCGAGCAGGACAGAGGCGATGAATCATTTCAACAAACCAAGCCAAAACGAACAGCATCAAGCTCACAAAAGTTCTTTTTATTTGAGCAAGAAGTCTGGCTGAAAGGACTACAGTTCCAAGCAACCAAAATCCCATTGTTAGTGGCACTAATTTTCACTTTGTAGATTAAACTTAGTCAGGAAAGGGTATGGAGGTTGTATCTTCCCCAGACATGAAGGGCAAAGAAAACGGGAAGAGACTCCAATCTACTGAGACTGCTCGTTGGCCTCAATGCCAGGCTGGCCACACCCTGGCTGGGCAACTGCAGGTGACTGCCCTGTGGTGAGGGACATGGCGACACTACACTACGTATATGAAAAAGGAAGAACAAGGCAGGAAATGGCGGCAGGTGGCCTGGGGAAGAGCAGGCACCCACAGCTTCAAAACTCTTCATGGAAGGGATAATTCTGGTGGGAGGCACAGCTGTCAAGAGAAAGAGGAACACATTAGGTTTTTAAGAGATTTCAGCCAAAATAAATTACAAAAAGTCAGAAATGCTGAGTGTCTCATTACAGGTAGAAATAAAGGCCTGCGAGGAGCAAGTCGGCTCTGAGCTGTAGGCCACGGGTCTGCACTGGGGGCAGCCGCCCACCCTTAGACTCCTCTGCCACGGACTCTCATGAATGACGACGCCACCCTCCCAGTGCCCAGCACCAGGCCTGGGGTGTTCAGGGCAGCAGGACGCAATTCCTCCTTCTTCATAATTCCATCCAACGGGCAGGACAGGAGAGCACCTTGTCTTAGACATTAAGAGGGTGATGACAACGTAAGAGACGTGCTCCGAGTACAGGGAGACAGAAATGCTCCGTCCCTCAGGAGTCCAGTGAGCAGCTGAGGATTCGATAAAAGGAACTGGGAGGGAGGCAGGGCATCAACCTGGGGATGGAGAGCTGCGGGCGTGTTTGCCAGTCCAGTCCCATCCGGCAGGGCCAAAGGCTAGTGTTGGGGACATAACAGCAATAAACGTTGGGAAGACTGGCCGGGCAGAGCACGAAAGGCCCAGGGTGAACCCGCGTGGGGCATATAACTCTTACTTAAATATTCAGAACCATTCAAAAGTTCCCCGTGATCTACTTTTTATTGTATCCCATCAAACCTGAGGTATAAACACCGCCATTAGCAGCGGAGGTGAAGACCGACAATGATCACCAGAGGTAATATGTAGTAATATGTAGTAATATGTAGTGTTAGAAAGAGCTCCCTGGGTGCCCTGGGCATGTTGGGGACAGCCTCTCCCAACCCACTCAGACCCCAAACATCCCCACGAACCACCAGTAGCCCAAGGACTAATCTGATAGTGGAGTCTAGAACAGCGCCAGAGGGTGGAGGAAGTGTAAAGAAACAGATAGAAAACCACTGGCCTATCCGCCCCGAGAGATTCCCTACGGGGGCAGCGGTGGATGGGAACAGAATGGATGGCAGGGACGTTGTGAAAGCAGACGGGTAAACTGGCGAAAGATTCACTTCTCTCCCTTACCCACTAGATCCAAAGGTGGTTTCAATGTCTAAAGATTCCACAGCATTCACACACACAGGGACATCAAAAATGCCCTGGTTGGGGCTGCCAGTGGTAACCTCTGTGGCCTGTTCTGAGTCTGAGGCCAGGGTGAGACCTCAAGCGTGTTCACACCTGGACAGGAGAGTTATCAACCAAGATGCACACCAGGGGACATCTGCCCAGGGTGGCGAAAGCCACCAGGGGGCAGACCTGCACTGGACAGCTAGCCACCCACGTGGCTCAGGGAACGTTCACATTTTGTGCAGGAGAGTAACTAACTAGTAAGGAGACAGAGAGGAGCCGGCAGAGAGGTCAGACCGTGAGAAGAGCGAGAGGAGGCGCTTAGACTCCCATGGAAAATGGGACGGTTCTTCTTGAAAGAAAACAAGTTCTAACTTTAGTTACTGTACAGGCAGGAGAAGGATATGAACAGCCTCCCCCGTGACCTCCTCAGAGGAATCAGGGAATACAAGGACCAGCGGATGTGTGGCTGGAGGCCCGCAGGCGACTGCCAGGCAGAGGGTCCAGTGACCATCTCAGAGCCAAGTGGCCCATCCGTGCCGGAGCTGGGATCATCTCGGGCCCCAGCACCACGGTCTTCCTCTACACCCTTTATTAGCATCATGATCAGATAGGGCCACAGGCAAATTCTTCCACAAAGGTGGGGCAGGAGCCACCTGGGCCCCTCTGGTTTCCACGGACAGTAAGAGTTGGAAATGAAATGCCAGACCGTGCGGTGACATTGTGTGTGAAGCCTCTAACGTATCTTATTTAATCTTTAAATAGGTATTACTTTACAGATGGGGACGAGAAGACACTAGAGCAGACGTCCCAGCATCTTCCCGTGGCTGACACAGGGCTAACGTTTCCAGCTGCACATGCATGAGAACGCAAGGAAATGCACCAAATGAGGCCGTGACGGTGATAGGACAGGGACGCTACGGCTGCCGGGAGCTTTGCTTCCGTTCTGCAGTCTGGTCTGCCCGGGACCCACTCACCTCACCAAGGCACAGACCCGCCAGTTCCTGTTGTAGCTCAGTAAGGTGGCCATATCCTCGCTGCTCAGCTCAAAGTCAAAGACCTAGAAGAGAAAACATCCAGTAAGCTCTGCGAGTAAAGCTCAACCCAAGACCGCAGCAGCGCTGCGCAGGCCGCTGATGAGACGCTGCCCTGGGCGGTGAGGGGAGACGGAGGCTGAACTCGGAGAAAGCTGGCTGTCGGCGTATTCAGAGAAGGCATGCGGTTCGGCTGGGAGTTCATGAAACATCGAAAACAGCCCTTCCCTTCCAGGGCCCCCGCTTAGCTCATTTCAAGACCCTCCCTAGCATTTCTGCTGTGCTCAGCACCGGGGGAGGGGGAGGGCACAGTGATGGGAAGACGTGTCTGCCTCGTTTACAAAGGAAACACAACAGCTGTAACAGCAGGAGGAGTTCTCCGCACCCGGTACGAGAGGCACTACACACAGCGCTGGCGAGGCCAGAGGACTCGGGGAACCAGGCTGTGGCCAGAGAGTCTGAGGCAGGCCTGCGAGGCCAAATCAGGTGCGACAGAGAGCGAGAGGTGCATCAGGAGAACCGTCTGCACGAAGACCACGGTCTGCAGGGAGACGTGGCCAGCACGGAGGCCAGCAGGCAGGCCCTAAGCAGCACCGGTGAGACTGGGAGGGCCAGGCATATGCCAGGAGGCCCTCAGCATTGGATGACCACAGAACGTGCGAGAAGTCTGCTGCAGACTCTGTGATTACAACTGTGCAAAATGTGCCAGGACTACACAGCAAACAAAATGGCAGCACTAGGAGTTTGTCAGTTCAAAATATTTCTTTTCTAACACCTTGAAAATATACAACACGACACAAAGCATCCATTTGTACATGACATGTTTCCCACAGGGTCACTGTTTTGCTTCTCTATCTCCAACAGTCAGAATCTGAAGTGAGAAAAAATGCTCCCCTACGACACAGCAAGCGCCCTCCCCTCCACAGGCCTCGTCCCATCTCCCAGGGGACCGAGGGCACAGGTCCCCCCACAGCCTGTGGCCAGTGAACAGGCAGAGTCAGCTGCTCGCAGTGGAAACAGCTGCCGGAATCCAAAGCTCAGATGAGGCCGCGTGGCCCTAGTGGAGCTGCTCTGCTCAGTGAGCACAGAGGCTCACGGCACCAGGCCCCACCAGAACAGCGCTTCACCCCCAGACCCAGCACCAGTGTGAGAGGCAGGGAGGGGTGACGCCAGGCTAATTCGCTCTGGGGGTGCTCCCAGCGCCCACAGAGACCACCTCCTGATGCCCTGGTGCCAGCCATGCTGCTCAGTCCACTGTGAGATGGGGTCTTGGCATAGAATGGGTAGGACTGGCAGAGGGATGGGCAGGACTGGCAGAGGGTAGGCAGGACTGGCAGAGGGATGGGCAGGACTGGCAGGGAGGACTGGCAGAGGGATGGGCAGGACTGGCAGAGGGAGGCAGGACTGGCAGAGGGATGGGCAGGACTGGCAGAGGGGGGCAGGACTGGCAGAGGGATGGGCAGGACTGGAACAGTGTGGGCAAGACTGGCAAAGGGGGGCAGGATTGAGAGAGGGGTGGACAGAACTGGCAGAGGGGGGCAGGACTGGGAGAGGGAGGGCAGGACTGGCAGAGGGGGGAGGGCAGGACTGGCCTGTAGGCTCCTTGCAGACCAGGGACTCACCCTCAGCACAGCAGCGGTTCCTGAGCGCTTACTCGCTTACCAAGCATTGTGTGTGAAGCCTCTAACATATCTTATTTAATCTTTATGACAGTTCTTGAAATAGGTATTACTTTACAGATGGGGAAAATGAAGCCCTGATGCAGCCCCAGTGTCACTCACAAACATGTCTCAGGGCAACACTGAGTCGCTGAGGAGCTTCAGCACAGGAGTGTGCAGAGGGCAAACTGAGGCACGGGGCCCACCCCAAAGCGGTGCCTCCACCCAGGAGGAGCCCCTGTCCCAGGTGTGTTCACTGCAGCTTACGGAGGCTGGCTCCCACCGAGACTGCCACAGGGTGGGGTCCCATCTGCACTCCAGGGACAGGCCGAGACCCCATGAAGAGCCCTCCCTTTCTCCAGTGAGGAAAACCAGGGCAACCAGCCGGGCCTTACCTGAAAGTTCTCGGTGATGCGTTCAGGGGTCACAGACTTGGGGATCACGACCAAATTCCTCTGCATGGGGAACCGGATCAGAACCTGCGAACAGATGTGCCGAGTGTGTGAGTATGTTCACCAAGAACTCTGTCATCATCTCACTTGATCTGATGCATCCACACCCGGAAGGGGACATCCCAGAACTTCGAGTGATAAAACCAAGGCAGAGACGCTGGGGTCACACCCAGCAACAAGGAGGGTGCCCTCAAGATCCGACCGGAGCCCTGCGCTCAGCCACCACGCCTTGCGCTTCCGTGTCTCCCAAGCGTCCCACCTACAGGAGACTGACAGCTCACGGATCAGGAGCTGCTGCTCCCACTGGGAGGAGACAACGTTTCCCGTGCAGCTGATAACAAGCTGCTCTAGGAGTACAGATGCGCCTTCACAGTAGCAGCTGCTGGCCCCGTGGCAGCCTGGGAAGGTAGTGGGCGGGCACCGTATTCCCAGACCACACGGCATCTTCTCACTCCCAGCTGGTCCCTGTCTACTACACACTCCAGAACCCCAAGCCACACTCCCAGGAGGACCTGACTGGGCCCAGCCACCTCTCCTCCGGCCCACGGGGGCCACCAGATCTGCAGAAGTCCTGGGAACGGTCACGAGTGCCTGGACACGGCCGTACCTGGGCTGTGGTTTTATTGTACTTGTCAGCTATGGCTTTGATCCTGGGGTCATCCAGCAGGGAAGGGTCCTCGGGCTTGGCCCTGGAGACAGAAAGGTGACCCCTGTGAGCAACCGTTGGCGCCGCCACTCAAGGCAGCCGGCACCCCAACCCCGACTCCCGTCAGCCTCAGAGGGCGGCCCGCCAGTGCCCTCCCGATTCAAAGCTTAGTTACAAACTCCCAACCCTCTGGAAAGAGAGCAGGCCTCTTGCTACCTGAAAGGCCAACCAGGAAACCCAGCAAAGGCTCCTGGGAGGGTTTGCACATCAGCTCGAGCCATTTCCTTGGTGCTGAATGCTTCTCTTTAGCCATTTCTAATGTTCACCAACAGACAGGAAAACAAGGTCCCATGGGGACTCACCAGGGCCTGTCGGGAGAGCCGAGGGGGCTGTAGGCCGTCACCACAATGCCTTTGGACTGGCAATACTGGATCAGCTTCTCCTGAGTGAGGTACGGGTGGCACTCGATCTGCAAGCGCAAGCAGGAGGCAGATGCAGGCCTGGGCACTGGCGATGGCACACTCAGGAAGGTACCCATGCCAAGTCCTACCTCATCCAATAGGAAATTGTGTAACCAACGTCCTATCTCCCAGATAAGCCGCAACCACGTCTACGCTTCCCAGCGAGTGTCCTCGACATTAGCAGCGCTAACCTTGTTCCTGGCACCGTGGCCGTGGCCCTAGGGTTTCTCTGGCTTTGGCCACTTATCAGCTGTGACAGGTCTGAGGACCTCAGTGTCTGCAGGCTGCTCATCTGTGAGACCCGGAGCCATCACAAGCCAGGCTCAACCCTTCTCTCCTACAAGTTCCACCCCCGATGTGCCACTGCCATTCTGAATCGTTAGTGAGGACTGTGCCAGTGCCCAGGAGCTTGCCTCCCTGCCGCTCCCTGGTAACATCAACAGCAGTGACCGCCAGAATCAGAGGGCACTGAGCCTCCATGCCCCCACCAGCTCCCTGCTGGATGCTGACCTGGTTAACCACCGGCTTATGCTTTAAGCCAGGTTTGTTTAAGAGCTTCTCGATCTGGAGATGGTTGAAGTTGGAGATTCCAATAGATTTCACCAGCCCCTCGTCCACCAGCTCTTCCATGGCCTGAAGACAAAAGAAGGTCTGCTTGCTCCTGACATGTGCTCCGAAGGCCAGGGTCAGAGGCATGTTTTACACCAGCCCCGCCCTTACTACTCAGTGCCAGTGTCAGACCTTGGAGAAGCCAAGAGACAGCAAGACAGCAGCCAGGCTGGCTTCAATGAGGCAGGAAGAGCAAAAACAGAGGCAGAAGAAGTGGCAGAACTCACACCAGTCCACTCACAAGGACAGCAGGAAGCCAGCACTGAAGAAGAAAGCCAAAGCAGGGACAGCCTTACCTCCCATGTGTCCACAAAATCGGCGTCAGAGGGAATCACGTTGCCTTTCGCATCCAACGGGAAAAATTCGTTCCCGGGCTGTCACGACAATCAAACGCAGACAATCAGTAACAGCCCTTCACTGACGTGCAGTGACATCTTTGAAAGCAAAGTTCTAAAAATATTCTACACTACGAGAGCTGGCTAAGTGTTTTGAAGATAGGCAAGGGCAAATCTGTCCATGTGAAAAAGGAATAGGCAGACAACTGTTTATCAAATGGGCCGGAGCTGACAGTTAGATGGAAATGGATAATTCTCGGTCAGTGAAAGGAACCCTGCCATGGACTAGAGTGTGTGTGTGGATGGAGGGAGGACTCAGACCAGAACTCGCAGGGTCCACGTGCTGGCTGGATCACCAGACTAAAGAAGCGTCGCCTTGCCAAGCCTCGCTGGCTTATCATGAAACACAAACAATGAAAGTCAGGCCTGGATACCCCACAGTGCAATAAAATAGATCTACAGGGTAAACGCCACACTTTCCATCTGGCTGACAGAGCAGAAAACTGAGCCTGTAGCTGGAATGAAGGCAAAGGACATAATAACGCTAGACTCCTTCTGTACAGAGTTAGAGTGCCGATAAATATTCACCAAGCCTCCACAGGATGTGGCATGTGTGTGGAATGTGGGAATATGCACATACACAGGTGCAGGGTATGAATGTATACGCGCACGCATGCCTCTGGGCAGGGCGGGGATAGCAGGTGATACCTGCGCTGTGTGCAGGAATGTCCCGAGTCATGTTGGTTGTTACAAGGTTGTAAACCACACAATCACCCACCAACCCAGGGCAGGACTCCTCAAACTCTATAATATGCAGCTGAGTCACTAGGTTTGGATGCAGAAGCCTTGGGTGGGGCCCGAGACTGATTGCTAACAAGCTCCCAGGTGAGGTCGCTGCTGCTGGCCTGAGGCCTGCCCCTGGAAAAGTAACCACACACACAGCGCGCGTCCCACTCCACCTGCTAATAAAGGAGGCCCCCACCTGCCACAGGCTACACCTGAGCCGTGCCCTTACCTTGAAACTGATGGGCCAGTGGATAAGGTAGAGGTCCAGGTAGTCCAGCTTCAGGTCACTGAGCGTCTTCTTGCAGGCTCCTTTCACCAGGTTCTTCTCATGGTATGTGGACCACAGCTGAAGCCGCGAGAGAACACAGCCTGTCACTCCACGCAGGAAGCTGTTTCCTGGCTGGAGCCAGATGGCTTGAAGCCAGATGATTCTCTCTCCTCTCACCATAACCCATCCATGTCACTGTGATGCTACACGTGGTGGCGGAGGAGACTCCACTTCGCAGTGTGGGTGCTAACTTTCCAAAGGAAGGCAGGATAATCAGGTCAGGATTCCTCCCAGAAGGACCAAACTCAAGGCATAAAACAGAATGGACAGCTCGGCACCAGCCCTGGGCCTGACAGTGAGTTCTCAGGGCTAGGTTCCTACAAAGCCAATCTCTCACAGCCAGCCTCACCTCCAGGTGGTGGCCAGCAGTGGAGATTTAGTTTGTAGATGGGAACCAAGTCCCGTCCTTAAAGATAAGTCCCTGGAAAGAAAGCACCAACCCACGACCTCACCCTCATCGGCAAGGGGCTCTAACCAATGGGTCCAGTGGAATGACCATCCAAGACAGCCATGGACGGGCGAGCTCTGGAGCCCTCTATGGCCTCGAGTCTAACGTTCTCCCTGGAAGAACTGTGTACCCAGTGATAACTGTAGCTGCATTAAGAGGCCCCGATGCCACCAACGGATAACATGAACGAGAACCCTATCCCCCAGGTTCCCAAGAGCAGCACCTTGCTGACGATGAAGAGGTCCTCACGCTTCACCACCTGCTCCTTGATCTTCTCCTGAAGGGCCATCCCCACCTCGTTCTCGTTCTGGTAAACATGGGCACAGTCAATGTGGCGGTACCCAACGTCAATGGCCACCTTCACAGCCTCGGCCACTCTGCCCGGAGAGGACTGAAAGGAAAGGAAATGGAAAGCATGGAGTGAAAATCCAAAATGAAACAAAAGACACAGTTTGCACACAACCCAGGGAGGACAGTGTGAGCCAACCGCTCCTCACGGAAGCGCCTGTTCCTGGAAGGCCGGCACTGGAAGGCCGGGCCAGTTCCTGAAGCAGACTCCGAACCATTTGCTCTCAGACGGAATCTGAAATGCCACATGGCTTCATTTTAGGATTATTTAACAGCAGCATCGATCATCTTAAAAAGATGTACAAAGACATTCACTCCTGTTTCTTCACATCAGTTGATTTACAAACCACTGTATAAAAAACCCCCCACCGTCTGGATCTATGAGGTTCCCAAGACAATAAAGGATACCATTTCCTTTGAATAGCTCAAAGTATTTTTAAAAAAATTGTTGTAAATGTTTACCCAATTCCCATTTGGTTTCAGAGTTCAGTAAATTCCTGTGTTTTCTCTTTTTGATGCCTGGATTCAGATATTGGCAATCCCTTGTTTGGAAGCAGTTCTGGGAGACTGTCATAGAGTCAAGAACATTACTGATACAGATTCAAAGGCCTGGGCATCAATTCTCACGCTGTCCGAATCTCAGAAGATCACCATATGGTCTGTGGTCACAGCTGCAAAGAAGCTGAATGGCTGGCTGTGCCCAAACCATCTGAGTGACCAGGACAGGTGTGGGGGAGCCTGGCTGTTGAGGAGGAGGAAGAGAAGTGCCCGCATGGCCATTAAGCTTCACCCAGATCAACTGCATAGACACTTACTCCATCTCCTGCTCAGACCAAAGAGGTGAAAAATAAGCGGGTGCAACAGACTGTTGAAAGAACCGAGGGCATTCCTCTGGAGAGCGCCCCTGGAGAGCAGGGTAGAAAATGAAAAGGAAACTCGATGGCTGGGGCCATTGCAGCTGCAGACATCTGCTGCTTATCAGCTGTTGCGAACAGGCGAGGGGGGAATGGAGCCATGGGAATAGAGAGTGGCCTGAACCTGCTTTCCACCACGGAGGAGCAGGGAGGCGGGTGGCGATGCTAGCCTCGGGTGTGAGATCAAGGAACACCTTCAGATGACCTGGCAACCTCCTCTTTCCCTGGAGGGCATAAGAAGCTGCACCTGCAGCCTTGCCCAACCTCCATGGCTCAAGGAACAGAGCAGAGCAGAGCAGCAGACCATAACTACCACAGCCTCTCTATGGCATCCTGGACACAGCTGATGCTGATGTGAGAAGTGACAGCAAAGCACACCCCTTCCCAAGAGCGAGGACAAGTGAGGGACCCAGGTGGAGAAACTGCCCAGCATGCATTTAACTTTCTTCAGGCTTAATGGAACCCTGATTTTCTCTGCAGAGCCCTGGAATGTGCCAGCCCAGCACCGTGTAGCCCCAACCCTGGGAGAGGGGTGGGCACATTTCTCAAGCCTGGCCTAGTCACACATTGTTACCTGCCAGTGACTGGTACAGGGACAGACACGACCACCCAAGCCAGGCCCGTGAGAGCCAATCTTTGCCCTTAAGTTGGCACCAAGAGGACAACATTTCATCCTGCGGGGGCCACTGTGCTGGGATCTGAGCCAGGAGCTGCTGGAGGACAGAGGGACTGACGGACAGATGAGGGTTACATTTATATGCTTGGATCTGGTACACCTGAGGTCAACTTGTAGGTCAGGAAAGCACAATTTCCCACCTTTTCCGAGAGAATAATCTGCAACAGGTGGAAATTTAACTCAGTGTCACGGTCATAATTCAATTACACCCTTGGAGCCGCCACTGGTCTTTTGGAAGGAAAGACAGGATTACTAATATTCTGATCACTTTGGCCAGGAAACATCGTCTGTGTGAGGCAAGTCTAGGACCCCTTTCCTACTCACCTTAGATTTACTAATTTTCAACTGCGGGTTTTAGGGTCGTCCAAACCACCGCAGGGGTGCACCTCAATCCAGCCTTTCTTCCCTTGTCTGTGTGCAAACATCCCACGCCCAGGCCCACAGTCAATGTTGGTGGGAAACCCCCGGTCATGGCTGTGGAATGTTCTGTATAATACTTGAAGCTGCCTCCTAAGCGGCTTAAAAAATACTGGGTTTTGCCCCATTAATACCACTTTCCGCGCCCCCTAATTTTCAGATAACCAGGCCGTCCGTTTTATTCCTGACCATTTCTTAGGGACGCCGTGCGTGAGAGATTTCGGTGGGGGTCAGGTTTCGGGGGCCAGCTTCATTCAATGCTGATGCCAACAGTTTTCCGCCCAGATTCCCCGCGGGGTTCTCAGGACACCTCCCAGGTGCCCCTCGGGGACGGACACAGGGGTTCAGCGCTGCGCGTCTGGGGACGAGGAAGTGGCTGCGTCCTGGGCAAACCCGCGCCCCCTAATGTAATTATCTGCAGTCTCCAGAGGCGCTTACCTTGAGATGCTTATTCCGGAGAGAAAAACGGAAACGATTAAGGCCAAACTACTTATAAGACAAACAAGGAGGCGGCGCAACAAGTGCCTTTGGAGCGGACCCCTCCCCCCAACCCCCCTGCCCCATCTCTTTCGGACCCACCTCCCGCGGTCCATCCCCGGGGCCGGCGGCGGGGCTCGGGAAGCCCCCTCCCCTCCCCTCCCCTCCCCTTCCTCTTAGTGACCTTTCCAGCTGGGATCGGACTCAAGGCGCGGCCGGGGAACCGAGCGTGCACGGAGCCGGCCTTCCGCGGGCCGCCCCAAGCCCCTCACGCAAGCCCCCGGCCCGACCCAGGAGCCAGGGCCCGGCCCGCCTGCCCGGCCCACCTCGGGGCGACTCGAGCCGCCGAGGGCCGGGCAAGCCCGAGTGGCGCCTCGGAGGCCAGGCGTCCAGGGCCGGGACCGCTAAGGGTCACTCCAGGTCCCTCCCGCCAGGCGGCGCGGAGCCCGCGGGACGCGCCCCCTCCGCACCGACCTTCCAAGTGCCCAGCCCCACGAGGGGCATCTTGGCGCCGCTGGAGAGCACGATGTGGTTCGCCATGCCGACGCGCTGCGCAGACCAGGCCCCCGGACCGCGACAGCTTGGAGCCGGCGCGCCTTTAAATAACCGGTGCCCCGGGCGGCCAGTGGGGGGGATCCGGACGGCGGCCCGCTCCGCAGACGAGGCTTCTGATTGGCTGGCCCGCCCAGCTCGTTCCCAGCGCCGCGGAGACGCTGCTTCCGCCGGGTCCTAGCGGGGCCGGTCGTTAGTGCTCGGATGCTGGCCTTCTCCCCACGTGGCTTGGGAGTCCTCGCCCATCGCTGTGGCGTTGGCGCTCGGAAACGCGAATGCTTTAGCAGAAGTAAGAGACAGCGTACGAATAAGCAGCCTGGGAAGGAGTGTGTGTTTGTTTTGCTAAGAGCCCCGAGACTAGGTTTGCCTGTTGTCCAAGCCCAGTATCTTGCTCTTCGAGAATTTGACAAATGTCGGGCCCATAATTTGTACGAATCATATATTAGCCACTTTGCTCTTAGGAAGGTGCCTCTAAGAGAAACGCCCTGTAATCTTGTTGCAGAACACTTTCTGGACACTTGGGTTTGCCCAGCCTGTGTGTAGCTCCCCGAGCAGTCTTGGCACCCCCACCCTAGGTGTGAGCTGTGTGTGGGTTTGGTTCAGCCAGGTTAGCAAGCCTCGGTGAGCTTGATCCTGAACACACAGAAGCTCTTCAATCTTTAGAAAGTGAGACCTTATCCACGCAGCAAGTTTCAATCTGGTAATTTAGTAAAACTTGAGAAGAGAGAATGGGCAGAAAGCCACAAAAGAAAAGTTAGCTTTAAGCTTGTAGCTCCACGGGCTTCAAATTAGTGGGTGCTAAATAATAAACCGGCCAGCCCTAATTGGCAGGTAAGACTTCTTTCTATTCTGCCTCAAGAAGACACATGATTTTCCAAAGGTAACCAAAGGAAAGTTGCTGGAAGAGCTTTAAAGACAATTTTGGCTTCTTTCCAATCATTGCTGTCCATAGTGCTCTGTCCTGCCCCGGACCTGCTCTTTCTGCTCCATCACCCTCCAATCTTTCCACCAACCACGCAAGACTGAGAACTCCATCTGCCTGCTAATGACTCAGGAGCCAGACCTCCAAACTCCATCCTGGTGATTTTCCATGTAGTGATTTCTGAAAAGTGCCCCCTAGGAAAATTTTATACACAACAGACCTGCCCAGATATTTTTCCGTTTGGTTTTTATAAAAACTCTCGTTACTAGGCAAATTCTGTTGTTATGTGTCCCCAAAGAATAGAATTTTAACTTAACCCTAAAGCTTGGAACTTGGTTTGTGGGTAAAAGAGCAGTAGCCCACCTCTCTTCATAAAATGGTGACATAGAGACTGTTGTCCAAAGATCTAGTCTTTTTAGAAAATGACCCACCTTGAGTGACCAGGTTGATAGACAGAGAGGGGACAATGGTTAGGGACACGGTCTCAATATGAGGGGCATTGTTGTTGTTTCTATGATGACTGAGTATAGCAGCTGATTGCATAAAGGTGTAACTGTCTAAAAATGGGATATTCTGACCCAGTTACCCAAATGTGAGAAGTCAGACCTGTGGAATTTCTAAAGTAAAAATAGGACCATAGTTGGGACATACTATTATGATAGTCTCCTAACTGCCTCATTGCCTCCATAAACTTTTAAAAATGTCATTGTGCGCATATCAAAATTATGCTTTAAAAACCCTTCAATAGAATCCTTCTGGTAAATATTCTAGTACTTAATATCAAGAACAATAAAAATCTTAATGTACTTTGAACCAGTAACCCCATAATGAAACCAGTAATCCCATCTTGATTAAAAAATTTTAGAGGAAATGTGCACACACACACACACACACACACACTATAGGTATGGGGCTGGGACTAGGGTAAGGAAAGTGTAGATAACATATAGCCATTAAATATAAAACTGTAGCCGAAACCGGTTTGGCTCAGTGGATAGAGCGTCGATCTGCGGACTGAAGGGTCCCAGGTTCGATTCCGGTCAAGGGCATGTACCTGGGTTGCGGGCACATCCCCAGTGGGAGATGTGCAGGAGGCAGCTGATCGATGTTTCTCTCTCATCGATGTTTCTAACTCTCTATCTCTCTCTCCCTTCCTCTCTGTAAAAAATCAATAAAATATATTAAAAAAAAAAACTGTATAGATATAGAGAAGGGTATATGAAAAAATACTAAGGTGAAAGTAGAGAACAAAATATGAGAAAAATATGAGAAAGTAGATAAAAAAACATCATAAATATGATATGATTATAAGCATAAAAAACAACTTGTAACATAAAGTTAGGAAGAAGTCAAAGGAAATGAAGAATACTGTTTGTCATATTATTTGATTAATAAACATATTTTGCAATTAACTATTAACTCTCCAATCTCTCTAGGATAAAACTTCAACTCCTTAGCCTGGCATTCAAGGTCCTGTGAAATCTGATATAACTGTAAATATATGAAAAAGCACCAAATTGTATACTTTAATAGGGTGACTATTATAGTATGTTATATGACTATTAAAGCTGTTAGAAACAAATATACAAAGGTTATCGGGCAGAATAGAAAGAAACTATGGAAATTCCTTGACAAGTAGAATAAGGGAAACTGTGACAAAATAATTAAACAAGACCAAACAATTTGAATAATTTACTAGTACAGTCGTCAGCTAATGAATCACAAATTTTTATCTTCCCTAACCAAGGACACTTGGGGGCAGACTGGCCTTAGTCCTAGTCCCTCTTTGATAACATTCTTTGAAAATAAAACTAATAAAAAATAACCCTGACCCCTCTATATGCACATTTTGATGAATCAACATATCCATGGACACATCTGGAAAGCTAATGAATATTCTGTTAAGACCCTCCCCTAAGACCTCCTGTGGAAGTATCACCAGCTGAAGATAAAAAGTTTCAAGATAAAGGACCTGAAGTGCTCTCCCCTAGAGCACACCCACACCTTGTATCTCTGCTTTCTTTCTTCTACTCTAAGGGCTCCCATGAGACTTACAACCAGAAGAGCACCTGGCAGCGGCAGCTCATCCCAGCCTAACTCCCCGAACCTGTCTCCAATGCCTCCTTTTTCTCTGACTTCCCAGTGAGCTCACACAGCCCAGTGTGGCTCACTTCTTCCCTATAATGTTTCTAGGAAACCGAAGCAGCCCCACCTAGGTTCTCTCAGCTTTAGTAAACATACCCTCAAAATCACTTGGACTCATAGTGTGAAATCTTTCTGGCATGAAGTCAAGAACCCACACACTCCTGGCTGGCCTGATATAGACCTGCTCTGGGCCCAGGCCCTGGCCAGGTAACATTCTCAGGGAGCAGGAACACTATGACAGCCACACACAAGGGACATGATGGAGAAACCACGGGGTAAGCCTTCCTACCAGGCCAGCAAATGGGACCTCTGCCCACTTCCTATCATGCCACCTCGGCCCACTCCATCCTTCCACAACTCTGGCGAAGCAGTCACAATTTGGGGATAAGAACACCTGACATAGATCCTGTGGAGAGGCAGGAAGCAGGGAGAGGCAACAGGCAAAAGAGAAAGAGCCATAGGAAGAGGTCAGAGAGTCCTGCGCTGCTGCCATGGAGCTGGGTAAGCCTTACAGACTCGGAGAACTACCAGGGAGCAGGCTCCAGTGTGTCAATAGGTCTTCACGTTTGTTTGCAAGGTGAGGTTCAGATTGAGAGAAGGGTCTGTATGAACCTTCTTCGTTGATATTGGCTGGGGAATGGCCAACATCCAAAGAGAGAGAAAAATAAATATTTTGTCACTTTTTAGCACAGCTGTTCCATAAATTCTTGTGGATAACAGCATCCGCACAGTGCGCACGGAAATGTGAGCATCTGCGTGCTTCCACCCAGTTCCCACCCACAGGGGTCCCCCACCCCCTTTTCTTCCAGCCAAGCAAGCTTAAGAGGATGCAGGTGAGTGAGGACAGCCTTCGAAGGGAGTTAGCTTGGAGGCCACTTTTGTATGCAATGCCTAAGGCATTCATGAATGCTTTATTTCTAGGAGCCAATGACACCCCTCCCAGCTGTGGGGCACACTCAGGGGGGTGGCTCTGTGGCTGAGAACCTCTGGGGCCTGCGGCTTCTCCTTTCTGAGTGAAGGGACTTAGGGGAGATGAACCTATACGTCAGTGGGGGGAATGGGCCTTGCAGAACAAATAAATACGTCTCCTGCCCTCTGATTTAGGAATACGTTGCTGGTAAAATTGAGGGGTCACCTTATTTATCCGGGATCCTAGTTCGGTGGCAGCAGAGGGGGTGAAGGCTAATGAACCTACAGAATCGCTAAGACAGGTTCTGGTGTTTTTAAACAGGTCAGAGAGGAGCGTGTCATTCCCCATCAGCATGGACTGGGGTGAGATGCCTGGCAACATCCTGGCTGCCAGCTCCTGTCTCATCAGGATCAATGGCCAGACCCAGGCCCTTGGTGGGAAAATCTACCGAAAGGCAAGATCTCAGTG